TCTTAGGCCAAGGCTCAGGCTTAGGCTCAGGTATAGACATAGGCAGAGACTTAGATTAGGCATACCCTTCGGCTCAAACTTGGGTTATGCTTGGGCTTTCGCCTGCTTAGGCATCGCTTAGGTTTCGCTTCGGCTTCGCTTAGGGTTAGGCTTAGGCTTAGCATCAATGAGTGCTTAAGGTATAGACATAGCCCCCAAAAATTTTTCCAGAGTAGAAAAAACAAAAAATAATAAAAATAACTTGTAAATAGGTGTTTCATGGAATCCAGCAAATCCATCCCCCAAATAGCCCAGATGTGTTTAGCGCCTCTCCGACCACCCACAAAATGACGATCCATCAAAATTTGTCGCCCGGGCCTGTGGGGTCCCACAGCGGGGGATCCCCGGAACCGTCAATAGTTTTTTGGCGGCGTTTTTTTTGGTTGTGGTCTGGCCACATCCCGCTCGATGGGCCCAGCGATTTTTCGGCGGGGTTCCCCCCTGGGCCGTGGGTCCCTATGGGCCGAAGAAGGTGTTAATTTGGAGATAAAAGGGTCCCTCGTCCCAATGAGGAAAGGAACGGCCGGGGGGCTGGCTAAAGACCAAACGCGGTCTTCTGGAAATTAGTGGATTGGGTGGAATTTGTAAAAACAAAGACGCGTAGAAGAGAGAGAGAGAGAGAAAGAGAGAGAGAGAGAGAGAGAGAGAGAGAGTTAGAGAGTGAGAAAAAGGGAGAGCGAGAGAGAGAGAGAAAAATAGATAGGCAGGCACATCGAACAAAAATGAACTTGTGCATTAAATGTAGGAAAAGAAAGACTCCAGAAATTAAGGAAATGACATTAAAAGCCAATAAATAATATGTAACGCTTAGAACTAGTACTATTATGCTAGGCTAATAAATTTTATTGAAATCGTAACCAATTTTTAATCGTCTATGAAATCAGTAAAACAAAAACCGTACCCTAAAAGGACCCAAATAAATGGTGAATGACTTTTTAGGACCTCCCGAGCTTGTTGTTGCCAAAATTTCGAGCCTAACCCAAGACGATGTCTCCTTTGCAACCAAAAAAAAGCGGTTCCAGGGATTAATTATGATTCGGCGCGAGTGACATCCCAGTGCTCAATGCACCGACAAGGGTGTTGTTTTCGGGAAAACATGGGGGAACACTTCCGACCTCCGCGTCTTTGGAAGAGCTGGGGGCTAGGGTTGATATTCATCTTGTTTAGGCGAGCCCTCTTACTCTCATCCTCATCTAGCAGAGCCGTAATAAAATTTGGTCAGCTAAAAGATGCCCCAATGCATGTATGCATGATAGAGAGTGTTTTCTTGGAATATGGCTACTTGGAATTGGTTTAAAGATGCTTGGAAGTGGCAGCATCTGCACCTGACCTTGTCTGGGTGCCCACCTCAACCAAGTGAAGCGCCAAAAGAGTTCCAGTTCTTATTTAGAGAACGTCTCGGGCCTAGGATTTGGCGACCCGCGTAGGTTCGGCTCCCGCTCGTGCGTAGTGGTCGATTTTGACACTTCACAGTCCTTTTGAACTCATTAAATGGAATGGACTACACAGCGATCCTATCAACACCGCGGAAGTCATATATGGTCTGTGGCTTTTGTGATCGGTTTCAATAAAAAAAATCGGAGCTGGAGGAGATAGGCAGCGAGAGAGCGGGTGAGAGAGCGAGAGAGCGAGAGAGATAGTGAGAGAGCGAGAGCGTGAGAGAGATAGAGGGAGAGTGCTATAAGTACGAGAGAGAATGTTAGAGAGTGTTTAGAGTGAGTGAGAGAGGTAGTGAAAAGAGGGACTTGGTTGGCGAGAGGGAGAGATAGATGAGAGATAAGGAGAGAACGAGAAGAGAGAGAGCGATGGAGACAGAGAGACAAGAGATCAAGTGGATAGAATGTGGATAGAGTTGTAGAGAGTAATAAATACTGAGGGACCATTGCGAAAAGACCCTGAAAAACAGAGACAAAGCAAATTCAATAAAAATTCCAATGTGTAGCAATTTCCAAAAAAACGATAACAAAATAATAAGCTGAAAAAATCAACCAAACATCACCAGAAGCAGAAAACTCGAAACCAGAAGCATTGAATCCATTTCCCCGAAAAACCCTCGGCATCCACCAAAGGGCGCCCCGGAAAATTGGCTTTTTCCGATGGGGCAAGCCAGGGCATGAACGAGTGGATTTGGACTCATTTTGGGCAGGAGATACAGATCCCGGGGATCCTGCCCGATGCCCATTTCCATTCCACTTCCAAGGCCCGACCCAAAATTTGCAGCCGCCCACGGCTTTCTGCCGTAAACAGGAAACGTTCCGTGCAGTTTGGCCATACGCTTAAAACAATGGGCGCATCCATTTGGGGATAAGCTGGGATTGCACGGATGGGCTCGGAATCGTGAGGTTTGCAGGAAAAAAGGAAAAGGCACGAGAAATACTTATTTTTGGCTTGGAGCTACACGTTAGCGTAATTGCTCGGGCCAGAGAGGAACCGAGGATTAATGTAATGGTCGGGTGGTCATTTTTTGGGCTTGGTATTTATGGATAGGGCGCCGGGGAAGGAGTGACCCGAGGAAACTGGGGTATAGAGAAAAGTTTTTCAAAAAGGAAAAAATGGAAAAATGTTTCCAAAGGATAAGGAAGCCCCTTCTGTAAAAAATCCTTTGCGGTATCAATTTAAAGTGACTGGAAAACGTGAGATTCCACCCCTTATCTCGATTAGGGCTAGACAATTACGCACAAAAGCTGAAGCTAAACGCTAAAACTAAAGATAAAATTCCTTAGCAAAGTCAGGAAAGAACGATAATTCAGCCACCGTAACAGGTGTTTTTGGAGCTTCGCGGAACGTGTATAGACCCAGTCCATGGTAGGGGTCGAACTGGCACTTCATGGTACATTTAGAGCCTAAATAAACACTAAAATAAGTGTAAAAAGCTCACAAATACAACTAAGAAGCACAAATACTAATTACAGCTATGTAGAGATTAGTTTAAGTTACTTTTCAGGTGTTGGCATGGCAAAACTTCCAGGCCTGCTTGCAAATGCTTTCAAATTTTTTAAGTTGCTTGCTATTTCTCTAAAAAATTTTTTCACCGCTTGAAAAGGACACTGATGCCGTCACAGCGCATCAAAACGGTCGAAAATCAGCCATCCTCTCTCAAGAGTGCCATCCCATCTCCTCTGAGTTGCCCTCAGCCTGTGGCAGATTCGGGATCTAGGAGGGAACCTGTCCGCCCCTCGGGGTACGAGACGATACTGATGGCTTGGTATGGGGCAGGTTTTGTCCGTCTCTCTATCTATCCAAGCCTCCAAACAACTCCCACACACACATCATTCCGGATCCCGCGACAGCAAACGCCCCGCGGCGGCCAGCTTATCGACCTCGAGCGTTTTGGCAGAGCTGATCGTTTTTTGTCGAAATCTAGATCCGGGTGCAGCGAATTAATACCATATATTTGTTCATCTACCCAACTCTTCTTTTTTGGTATTTTTAATACATTCAACCGTCAATTCCTTTTATCAGACAATAAGCGGCAATTTTGACCAAGAACCGGATTCGCCGATAAACAAGTCCATCTACTCCGTACCTTTAAAAATGATGCCGCTCGCCAAAACTTGAACGCGATGCACGCTAACATGGCTAAAAACCGTAAACAAGTCAGACTCGTACGGAAACCGCATGGTAATGTATGCTCAAGGTCATTTACGAAACCGTTTCACAGTTTTTATTCCTTTTTATTGTCCGATTCTGCATGTTTAGTTTGGCTCTCTCTCGCCCCCACTCGTTCGCTCTCTCCCATTCTCGTTCTCACTCTCTCTCTTTCGCTCTCTCTCATTATCTCTTGCACTCTCGCGCACCTCTCTCGCTCTCACTCGTTCGCTCCATCTCTCTCTCACTCTCTCTCTCTCTCTCTCTCTCTCCGCCATATAAATTTTTATTTTCAGCATATGCTAATCCGAGTCCTATGGTTACTCGTTGTATTTTTGGCAGTGAAACTAGGAGCATTAAGAAATGACGACGACGTGAGCGAGGAGGCAGAAGAAGACGAGGTGGGCTTAAATTAGATTTTTTTATTAGCTACAGTCTATCAATTCCGTATTATGCTTTATTCTTCAGGAACCCGGCGACATTTACAAATTTCTCTACAAGCGAATGAAGCAGGATGCTGATAGCAAGTTGGCAAAACGCCAATTGGCTCCGCAGCCCTATATGATTCCCGGTGCGCAGCTAGCAGAAATTCTTTGAGAAATTGAAGACAAGGGAAGGCTAGCAGAGATTCTTTGAGGAATTTGGAAAATAGCAAAGATTCTTTAAGAAACATTCGAGCAGGTGCATAAAATTTCTTTTTAAAGAGAGGGTGACAACTCGATTTTTTTGGTCACTGATGTCGCAAAATGAATTTTTCAGGTCCTCAGGAGCCGCTCCCTGGCCGTTCACATCCGAGCGATTACTGGCCTGTTTTTCCGTTTCAAAATCAATATTCCGGGGGTTTGGATCTGGATCCATCGATTTCTCGGGTAGGTATACCCTTAAAATCGTTACGTCAATTCTTAATTTTTTTTTGCGTGACAAGATAAGCTAACAACTTTTAGCACATCGGCGGTGACCTGAACCTGGCCATCCCCCTCCTGGGGAATCCTCGACATTTACGGTCGTTTCTTCAACCGTATCCACGATACGACAACCAAGGTATCGTAGTGAGAACAGCATTGCAATATTTGAATTAAGTTTGGTTACCTCAACCACCCGGTGAATATGATGGATTTGGAAAAGGAGGATTTTGTGGAGTTGATGAGCAACCCGAGCTCACACTGGAATCGAGGTAGGTTTGGAAAAATCGAGCATACGCCTTACCCTTTATTCCAAAAAAACGAAAAAGTACAGAGACGTAAAGACAGGAAAAGTACGACCATTCCTAAGCACGAAATTAAAACCAGTGTTTTGTGCTTTTAAAAACCTGACATCAGAGGCCAAAACAACTATAAGAATTGTTTATGGGTGTTTGTTTTTTTTTTTTTTAGAAGGCAAAAAAAAACGGAGGGGGAAGGGGGGGGGGTGGGGTTTGGGTTGGGTTGGGTGGGGGGGGGAAAGAAACAAAAAAAAAAAAAAAAAAGAAAATTATTTGGTTTAATTGTTTAGAAATTAAATATTTTTTAAAGTGGGGGTTAGGGGGGGGTGGGGGGCGGGGCCCCGGCCGCCGCCCCCCCCCCCCCTTTCCTCCCCTTTCTCCCCTCGCTTTTCCCCTTTTTTTTTTTTTTTTTTTTTTTTTTAATTTTAAATTTTAATATTTTATTTTTAAATTTTTTAAAGATATAGGTAAATGGAAGGGGGGGGGGGGGGGAGGGGGGGAGGGGGGGCGGAGGTCGGGGGGGAGCCGCTTTGAGGGCGGGGGGGGGTTGTGAAAAATACGTGGGATCCGCCCGAATCAGGGAGTTCGAAAGCGGATAGCGCCTCCTCGTTCATAGCTACATGTCGCGTCAAATTACGCCTCAAACGCTACAACCTGTAATGTGCCGTTGGTATCATTAGGTGCATCGTGTAGCTGTCGACACCTAGTCGATAGCAGGCGTCGCTTGCTAGTCCCGTTAATCCAGAATCAAAGCTCGGGAAACACCCAGACCTGCCCAGGCTAGAAGGCCTCTTCGGTTTCAATAAAGCAAAAAAAAAATGATAAATGACCGAGGAAATCGTCAAAAAACGAGAAAAACGAAGCCTGTAGGTCTGTACCCAGCAGCGTTACCCCGCTCGGTTAGCGATCTAACAAAAACAGGCATGACTCACAAAACGCTCCTCGAGGGGTCAACCCCACCCCGGTGTCACCCATAAACAAGCCAGTGTTTGCCGCCCCTACTCATAGCACACCCGCCCCACCGTACCCTCTTGGGGTGACACTGGCGCCAAAGTGCACTTACGCGCCCGAGTAATCGATTCCGGGGCCGCCCGTGTAAACAAACGGCATTGCCAGGGCGAGAGTATTTCTTCGCGTCTATATTGATCGTTTTTCTTTGGGTTTTTTTCGCATTTTTGTGGTTGTAAACAGATGTGCAAGTGGTGTAAATTATGTACATGTGGTGTTTCCTTGCAAAAAGCTCTAAATTGCTATTTTCAAGAGTTAATAGCTACGTTGAAACCCAATTACCATTTCGTAAACTGTGCTATTGGTACAAGCGGCTGTACATTGTTGTTTTTCATGTCTCATAAACTTATTTCAATTTTATGCGTGTTTTCTATAATTTTCTTCTTTTTCTATAAGTATAATTGTTATAAATTTATTATTCTTATTTTATAGCGCTAAGATCCCAAAAATGATCGGCTCAGCCCCGCGCCGAAAGCGTGCAGCCGACGGGGACGAGTCGACGCCGTCGAGCGCGAAGGGTAAGTTTTTTAAACTTTCGCAATAAAGTAGTATAATATTCTAGTCCGCATTCCAAATGACGTCTCGTTGATCCTGCACGAATTGTGGTACTCCGATGAGCACCAGCAGCTTCTGGCTCAATCGAAAGATGTTGGGACTCGCCAAAAGTAAGTTGAGACAATCGATTACGCCATGAAAACGACACGTAATTCCGTAAGGTAACGGAAAAATTGGCTAGAGGCTGAAAAAAATGATTTCATATTTGCCAAAAGTAAGTTGTGACATTCGAATACGTCATGGAAAGGACACGTAATTAATAAAGTTACTGTGATGCCCACGTAGCTTACAGTCGGTGTTCTTTGTTGATTTCTGGGCGTCACTGGGGTATATCTTTATTGCCAGAGAAGAATAGGATACAATTACTGCAATGCACTATATTTGCCGGAGTGGGGAACTATCCAGTAATGGAAATCTGTGATAAATTGTTATTCTTCTGAATCTCCACAGATCGCTCTATCGTCTCAGCCTAGTCTGGGCTGACACAGCGGGGTGAGCACGATCGGTGTGAGTTTGTTCAGAGTGAGCTAGTGGGGGCCGGCAGGCTTTTTATAGTCGCCTCTGCGGGCTCCGCCCAGAGCCTATTTCGAAACCCTGTGGGCTTTTCGAAATAGCCCCCGCGGCTCCTACGCATTCCATTTCTGAATGGTCGGAACAGTTCCGACACTCCGGGGGCGGGGAAAAAATCACAAGCTCGGATGTATTATCACATGGTAATATGGAAAATGCAGGAGGTAGGATTGCATGATCACAGGCAAAGTTCGGATTTTTGGGATTAGAAGCAATGGAGAGAGCGACGTTCAGGGGAAGCGACAAGGGACAAGCTGTTTGGTTCAGGGGATCTTCTAGAATTGGAATTGTTTAACTGGCTTTAATAGCCCGGTGGATTGCGTATCGACACCAAAAATGCACATGGTCCAATTTCCGAATTCTTTCGCAGGGAACTTCAAAGCCAACTCTTTGAACTTTGCTTTAAAAAGTGAATACGCTCTATATTTTCGGCGTAAATAATCTCTGGTCTGTAGAGGCGTACGACAGGGGACGGTCCCTGGAGTCGAAATCTGGATATTCGACCTGTTGTTTAGATACGGGTCATTGGTATCAATTTCTACGGTCGCGCGGGCCCCACTGGGCGCCTCCAGTGCCATTTGGATACTGTTATGCGGTGTCCAATTTATGCAGCTAGAGATGTCTAGCCCATCTTCCAATGGAGCCATGATCTGGCGTCGATTAGATCTGGCAACTCTGTTAGAGAGTTGGCGTATTTTGCTATTCGCTTCACCCATATAAATGCCAGTATTGCCCATATTATGGCCAAACTTTCGGCCAGGCCTTTGCCGAAAACTCGGAGCTGCTTGACTGTAAGCTGCTCGATACCTTAGTCGCGCCGCACCAGGTGGGAGCCTGATTGCGAGGGCTACGAGAATTGGTACTAGACTGCGGATGCCTAGCGTAGCGCCAATCTGCGTGGCGTCCGCGGAGGCGGGGGCCAATCCTAAGGCCAAAATACATAACGCTAGGAAAATCGGTGCGGACCCCACCCTGAAGTTAATTTTTCTTCTAGGTGGATCCGGGTAAGGTGGCGTTCTAGCATGCCTGTTCCGGCGGGGATAGTCTACCTTTGCAAGGGGCGGCTGCCCAAGAGCAGCTAGTATAGGAACTGTCCGGTTTTTATTAGTGGGTTTAAAATCGTTCCTCTTTTTTCTCTCTTTGTTTTTAGGCGCCTTAACTTTTGTGAGGAGTGGACTGGTTTCATTTAAATCTATGGTTTCTGTGGATTCTAGAACCGATAGGGAAAGAGAAAAGACATTAAGGCAATTTTCGCTTTGCCAAATTTCATCGCCCTGTTTGCTACCAATGTCCATGGGAGAGCTCAGGTTAATCGCGGTGGTACTAAAGGTTTCAGAAGTTATGTTTTCCTCATTAGACTCAGAGTCGGTGCCGGATGACCAATCTTCAGCAGACTCTGGCTCGGTAACGTGTTCATCTGAAGTTTCATCGTTCTCAGTATCATAATCATGGCCTTTTAAATTTCGTCCCGGAGTTTGCTCGCGAGTGGAGCTTCCTGAATTAGGTCTCTTGCCTGGGGAACGGCCTCGCTTAATTTTAGAGCCAATTTTTGGGTCGAGTGGGCAAATCGACGGATGGTGGTAAGTCGATCCGCATCTACATGGCCTTTTGCGGCAGTCATGTGGGTTAGTACGCGTGCAAACAAAACAGCGATCTTCCTTCCGCAAGAGTTTTCGCCGTTCCTCATTATCTGCGACTTTCGAGCAGTATAGGCTAATATGATCTGTATTTTTACAGTAAACGCAGAATTTTTTCCTTTCCTGACTCTTATTCCTGGGGAACCGATCTGAGGCCGGTACGGCGCCGTACGGTCGCGACTCCTGGTTATACCGGCTCGAAAACGGGGAGGAAGATCTTTGTGTTGCGTTTCTGTATCGGGACTTCTCATAGGCTCTGTTAATAGCTAAGCTGACCTCTTCGGCATCGTGCCGGGGATCGGTTACATTCATTAAATGCTCCGCTTTTTCGATTGCGCTATGAAGCGCTTCTAAGAATTCTTCAAGGTTCCAATTTTGATGGCCGTGTTCGGCGTTATACAATTTCTTTTGAATCGTTATTGGGAATTTTTAATCACGCGTTCTCTAGTCAGTGGATCAATTTCTACGTTGTTTTGTCGTAGTTCTTCAATGATAGCGCGCACTCTATCATAGGTAGGTCCGGCTTCTGCCGTGGTCCTAGTGGAGGGTATGTTTTCAAGCCTGTTGAACAGGGTCCTAATCAGTAATTCCGGGTTTGCGTAACGCCGTTCCAAAAGTGTCAGCGCTATTTCATAATTTTACGGCGTGAGCCTTAGGTGGCCCACAATATTTTGGGCTCGCTCGCGACAGCTAGTTTTAAGATAACTAAATTTATCTAATGCATTTAATTGAGGATTGTCCCCGATAATTCGTCGAAAGGTTGTAATCCATGCATTATATTCTATCGGATCCCCCATTGAATTCGGGAGTTGGATTTACGGCGTTAGGGATCGCTAGAGCGATTGCAGGCTGTACCTCTTCTCTCGGAACGGCCTCCCGCTGCTGGGCGACGGGAGGGGGCCTTAGATATTTGTCATATGTATGAATTTGGCCTTCAAGGCCCTGATAGGCTGTTGTAAGCCACCTAATGTATCGTCTTGCGTCGTTGAGAATACGGGTATTCTCATCGGTTTCTAGATTTGCGAGGATACCACGAAAATGCTCATGTTCTGGATCCTCTTCTAATTCCATAATTCGTGCAATCTGGTCGTCTAGTTGTTGCACTGCACCTTCAAGGGTCCGCTTTTGGGTATAAAGGTCAGGTAGTCGAGCCGCGGCGGCAGCCCGCTCGGCTTCATTTAATACCGCCACTTGAGGAATACGTACATTCATATCGAATTGGATGTGTTCCGTAATTTCCTGGCTCGTGTCGGCTACGGCTCGTACCCTACGGGAATATTCTCGACTTTCCAACGCCCGAGATGGACGGAGAGGCTGACCGTTACCCGCCATTCTGGTCCCGAGGACTGCTCGTAGAGTGCGAGGTTACGGTTGCGATAAAAATGGGCGCCGAAATGGGTGTATGGATCAAAGGGTGACCGAACTTGTTGCTCAAAATCACGGGGATACGGTTGGGCACAGAGTAATAGGATAAGGAACGTTAATAAAATAAGAAGGATGGCAATAAGTAATACGTCTACTAAAATTTTTAGTGGATTTTAACTATTTTATATGATAAGGTTTTGATAGGGAGCAGAAATTGGATTGAAATGCGAAATTTAGGGCTATACGGTAAATGAACTGCAATAATGAAACTGACTTACTTGAAACTGCTGTTGTGCGACTGCCGTAGCGTGGTCTTCAGCGGGCGGGTGGTTCGGAATATAGTGAGTCGCTCGACTCGGAATTATGGCGTTCAAAATTGGAAATAAATAGGTTTCTTGATAAGTAAGGGGGGGATTTACGTTCAGTGGATTTTTAAACAAATTTTTTGGGGTTTTTTAGGAAAGGGGCTTGCACCAGTTGGAAATTTGAGGTGGTAGAATGTAGCCCGGGTTAAAATAGCCGACGCACCAAAATGTGATGCCCACGTAGCTTACAGTCGGTGTTCTTTGTTGATTTCTGGGCGTCACTGGGGTATATCTTTATTGCCAGAGAAGTATAGGATACAATTACTGCAATGCACTATATTTGCCGGAGTGGGGAACTATCCAGTAATGGAAATCTGTGATAAATTGTTGTTCTTCTGAATCTTCACAGATCGCTCTATCGTCTCAGCCTAGTCTGGGCTGACACAGTGGGGTGAGCACGATCGGTGTGAGTTTGTTCAGAGTGAGCTAGTGGGGGCCGGCAGGCTTTTTATAGTCGCCTCTGCGGGCTCCGCCCAGAGCCTATTTCGAAACCCTGTGGGCTTTTCGAAATAGCCCCCGCGGCTCCTACGCATTCCATTTCTGAATGGTCGGAACAGTTCCGACAGCCATGTCGCGCGCATTTCGGCGAGGGGGGGCAGGGGCGGGGGCCCGAAATCCAGCCTCAGCTTGTTTTAGACAACCAAGATTGATAATGTTCAGATCCACTACCTGCTATGGACTACATTTTGTCTGCACAACGGGTGGGTCTTGAGTGTTTTCTCAAGCTCCTAAAAAAATATCCTTGAAATCCGTGCTGTCACCGTTTGCAAGTGTTATTTCGGGGTTCTAGTTCGTTAGCGGGGGGCAGGGTGAGGGGTTTAATGTTTCATTGTTCAACGCAGATTGTTCGATATTTCATTATTTTTGGCGACCCTCCGGTAGAGCACGAAAAAAAATACTAAAAATTTTTATGGTGGCTCAAAAGACAAGAATTTAAGAAAGCAAACGAAAAGCAAAAATAACCCTCTAAAATTGGGTAGGCAAGCTATTTTTCGGGATTTTCGATATTTTTCGACATTCTGTTAACGTTATTCCATAGGGCAGCAAAAATTTATAGTAAGAGTTTGATCTACAGTTCAAAATAATGTAATTTAAAACGAAAGAAGCTATGGACAAAAAAATGTTCCCTCCCCCGCTAACGAACCAGAACCTATTTAGGCATTTGGTGCGCTACCAGCGCTCCATTAAATATTATGACAACCCTCCTGAACGACCCGATGTCGATCCGGGGCCCTATCAGTCGATCATCTGTATGAACCTGGAGCGAAAAGCCTTCATATTCTTGCGAAGGGATGGGCAACTGGAATACGCTATGCTTGGAGCCATTGAAGATCCTCAAGGTGGGGCCTGGTAATTTGCAAAGGAAGTGCATTTCAATTGTGAAAATATAATACATGCTTTAGGGTTTCAACTTGAGTTCATCGTCCCGAGAAGGTCGTGGCGATTCAAGCCTGGATGCGCTGACGATCCGGTTTTTACTATCCCATACATTTTCGATGGGGATGAGAATGGGGCACGGTAAGGCAAAATTTAAAGACCGTCGGAACGATAGAATTCCGTTGATAGCTAGAAAGTTGCGCACCGGGCGGGGGTCAAACCCGCGATGGTACGATCCACAGCCCGACGCGCTAGCCACTATACCACGGGACCAAGTGGAAAAAGGATCCAGAGGCGCCCCAAAACGCAGAGGGCCGTTACGGGGCACCACTAATGACGTCTGACTCAGCGCGTTCTTGCGGGGGCGCATCCTCGGAGTAGTGTGCGGTCCAGAGTTCCAGCAGTCTTTAAAGGGCGTCTGGCAGCAAGCCCCTTTTCCACGACTCGTGGAACCGTCGCGGTCGGGTGCGTCGCGGCAGGGAGAGAAAGAGCGCGCCCAGAGGAGAGACGCAGACAGAACTCTGGGTCTCTGCCCGGTCCCCAGAATGCCGTAATCGGTGTGCTGCCAGAGCCGCTTTAACGGGTCGAACCCTTTACTCACCTACAAGGGGCGGTTTTTAGCTGTGCTGTGAAACAGCCCATTCGATACAGCCTAAATTACTGAACAAATCCGATCTCTCAAAATCTGCTGAACGACACCCGTTCTCAAGGAAATTCGCGCGGAAAGGGTCGATTTTGACCATTTTTGACCCCCGCTTAAAATGCGAACTTTGAGAAACTGATGCACGAAGACCGTTATCGTTCAGCTTCACCTAAAAACCACTCCTTGTTAGTGTTAGCAGTTCCAAATGGCAAACCGCCAAAATCCCGACATTCAAAACCCCGATATCCATAATCCCAACAGCCAAAATCCCGACAGCCAGAATCCCGACGGCCAGAAATGCCCGATTTTAAAACCAGTTATGGGTAAAATGGCCGAAAATGTCACATTTTGGCTATCGGGATTTTGGCTGCCGGGATTATGGCTGGAATTCGTTCCAAAGACGCGAAAGGCAGAACGTGAGTTTCCGGTTGTGCATGTGGTTCTGGTTCGTTAGCAGGGGGTGAGGAACATTTTTTTGTCAATTGCTTCTCTTATCTTAAATCACCTTATTTTGAGCTGTATGTAAAATTCTTACTTCAAGTTTTTTGTTGCTCTAGCGGAGAGCGGTCACAGGATCATCGAAAAAATATCAAATTCCCGAAGAATAACTGACCAACCGCATTTCTCAAATTATTGTGTTTTGCGCTAGAAAAAAATGGTTCGTAATTTTTGTTATGGGGTGGCGATGATGTAGTCCCCAAAAAATGACGAAATATTGAGAAACCTACGACATTACCTTCTCCCCCCGCCGCTAACGAACTAGAATCGTTTTTCTAGACGCTAATCCCAAAAATAATGGAAAGAAATTCCCGGGTTCAAGCAAACTCGAATTCAAGGAAACGAAACGTTCGCTTTTAGCGGAGCGCTGATGGGGATGCACATCTTTGTGGAGTGCGCTCGAGTTGGCTGTGAGCTACATATGCATGTAAGTACGCCTTTGTTTTGCGCACCTTTCATCCACCTCTGCAGTTTCGCTACATGAGCCCGGATAAAAAACTCGAAACGCATGCCACGGCGCTGCCACTGGGGCCAAACGGCGACATGATGTTAGTGCAACTGTGTAAACATTCGATTATCAACAAGTTTAGCCTAGCGAAACCCGAGCTGGTCAAGTCGGCCTATATCCTTGCGTCGAATCGCTCGTTCGTAATATTGGCGTTCACGTAAGTTGACGATTGCCGTTTGCAGGGGCGTCCCGAAAAAATCCCCGACCTAGCGGGCCATCGACGTGTCCGATCTGACCATTTGGGTATCTATCGAAAGCGCTGGGAAGGCCTATTTTTTGGGACGCCCGATATACTGAGAGTCCGCTTCCAGGGACGTCATCGCGTACGAAAAAAGCAAAGATGTGTTCAACGTCATTTCCGTGGATTTTGCAGCAGGCGGCAGGTGATTAGAGTCAAATTTACACACGTAATCTAGGTTCGGGTTCGTTCGCGGGAAGGTTCGCGATTTAATATCGTAGATTTTTCTACAGGGTGGGTCAGAAAATTGTTCCGGAGTTTGTCCCTGAATATCTCGAGAAGGAAAGATATTTCACCATGCGTTACCATGCCAGAATGCTTAAATATGTCAGGAATAGAGATTAAGACCAACTTGATTTTTTCGATTTTTGGCGACGTACCCATACAAATGACACCCGAAAACTGTGCGTTCCGGCAAAACTTCGTTTGCATTTTTTTGGATTGCTGGTGGTCGAACAATTCCAATTTTTACAGTGTAGGTACCTAAGGACTGCCCCTACGCACATCCGGAATTTTAGAATTTTCGAAGGTCTGGTTGGCAAGTTATAGCGTGCTGAAATTTAATATGGAGGAATTTCGTAAATTTCGAATATTACAAAAACCTATGGTGGAAACCTCAAAATAAGCTGTTTTAGCATGTCTACGGGCTCGATACAATCCCAAAAAAAATTCAAAAAAAATTTTCAAATCCGCGGATTTTCGAGTTTTTCGACGACCCCCTGGTCATGGATTTTTTGGAGGCGACGAAACCGAACTTTGAAAAAAATATTCCTAAAGTTCCGAATAGAACCTAGGTGTTTTCTGTACTTGGTTGTGTAGGACTGGGGTCCATCTATCACGTAGACAATTTCTAGCTACCGTACCACTTTGGAAGGTTGCCTTTTAGCGCTTCCAAAACGGTTGGTTCTTGCTATTTCGCAGACCTTGGTGCCAGTCTATAAAATTCATTTGCGCGGCTAGAATTATTGTCATAATTTTATTTAATTCTACTTAATGGGCGCATTCTAAAATTATAATTACAAATTTATTGGGCCATCCGATCTTGCAAAAGAAATTCATGAAAAGTCGAAATATACCCGAATTCGAGGCGACGTAAAAAAATTCTCGAGGCTTTAGTAGACTTGACTTTTTGGCATAAACTCAGCTTAAGTAGTCAACTAGAACCCATGGAAATACAAAACCTTTTCATGGCAAACAAATTTAGAAGAGCGCCCCAAAGTCGGCTTTTCAAAAAACGTTATTTTCGGGTTTTAAATAAAAATTAACCATTAACTTCAGCCAGATCATTCCAGTATTCTGCTCTCATACACAGTTCGATGCGTGCTTTAATTGTATCCACCAAACCCCGGTGCCTTTTTCTTTTTCAAAAATTCGACTTTCGAGCCAGGGCGTCGGGTCCAAAATCGGGCCCCGAGGAGGGTTTTCCACTTTCCCTCATAACTTTGTCATTTACCACAGGAATCAACGAATTATTTGTAGGTGCTCTTACAATCACCCGGTGAACACTATAGAATAGAAAAATTGGCATTTTATGGCATTTTGTCTTGGCATGCTAAAACGCGCTCCAGGCGGGTTACTGTAGAAAACAGAAAATCGCCGTTTTCTCGTTCTTTTCACCATAGAAACGTTTCGATCTTTCAGGAAAACAAATAATAGTAGTTTTCGGACCGATTCATTAAAATATTTAGAAATTGCCGTGGCTAAATTAAAAAAATCAGTTTTTTGTATATTTTTCGAAAGTGTGTGGCTAGAAATTTGCCATATTTTGCCCATGGCTGCCCCTTACCATTGTTTACCGATGGTAAAATTTTGAGCGAAATCGCAGCTTACAATAAAAAGAAAAACGCGAAAAACAAAAGCTACAGTATCCCTCTGGGGCACGTTTTAGCAAGCAATATTAAAATACCATAGAATCAGGTAAAATTTGGTGGTGTACTAAAGATTATCATTTGGAGACACGATCTGCAAAAGATCAGCCATCAGCAGCGTATTTGAAGCGAGTTGCCAATTAAAATGTAAAAGATACAAAACAATGAAATTTGTTTTGCTTGTGAAAAAAGAACTGGAGCTTCAAAAATTCTAATATTTGGCCATTAGCTTTCTACAAATGCCAACGATTTTTGGGCCAAAAATCAGAATTTTCTCACCACCCGTTCAAGAACGCACAATTTTCGGTCGTAACCAGCGTCAATAGTACAGTTGCGTACTCAAAAATCGAAAAAATCAAGTTGATCTTAATCTCTATTCCTGACATATTTAAGCATTCTGGCATGGTAACGCATGGTGAAATATCTTTCCTTCTCGAGTTATTCGGGGACAAACTCCGGAACAATTTTCTGACCCACCCTGTATAGATTGCATTCTTTTTTGGGGACTACATCATTGCGACCCGGTAGAGCATCAAAGAATATACTAAGAACCAGCGCCCAAAACCTGTTTCGCGGGAAGGTCGAGGGTTCGGGCGCTGGAACAAGGCCTTTGCATGAGAAATTTGACTTTCCGATAGCTTGGGTCCTTTGGACCCCCTCCCTTCATCCGACCACACCCGCGCGTGCAACTTGCAAGAATGAGGAAATTTGTATTTTTTTGGAATTATGCAAAGTAGCCCTCCGTGGCGCCGGACACACACACACAACGATACGCAACCAAATTATATAAGGTAGGATTTTCTGGATCACCAAACAATAATTTAAGAGAGTTATAACACAAGCAAAAATAGTCCTAAAAATAGGGGTTGGTAAGCTATTTTTCGGATTTTCGATATTTTTCGACATCCTGTTAACGCTATTCGATAGAGCATCAAAAATATATACCTGGGTTTTATATACAGCTCCAAATAATGTAGTTTAAGGCAAGATAAGATTTTGACAACAACTGTTCCCGTTACTACTGTTCCCATTGCTTGTCACCTTGGAGCCATTTTCAGTGAGCAAGAATATGCGTCGGCGCATCGCAGTCGAAAAATCGTTGACATGCACTTTGGCATGGATCGGCGCGAGCTGTGGATATTGATGGAGAATGCGCACATCGTCTGTTTACAATGGGTGTCCGGGAAGGGTAGGTTCGTGCTAAATCACCTTAATTCCGGCTTTGCAGATGAATTCAAGCTTCATCAACTCCGGTGGATGAGCATTCCGGGGATGCAAATTGCCCGCTCTTTTCATGTAAACTGGCCGAAAGGGGTTGATAAGCCCTACGTAAGTAACTACCGAATCCTGTAATTTGGCAAGTCTAGGTTTTCGGATTTCGAGCGCGCAGCCATAATGCCCGTTTCCAGGGAATGGTAGGTTTGGGAATGAGCTTGTCTCGGTTGAATTTGAATATACAGAGTGTCCCAATAAAATCACGTCCCTCTAAATGCAGAAGTATCGGATCGGAATGATAGTTACACCATGCGAAAGCCCTTGAAACGGCGAGTTTGCAACAACCTTCAAAACCATGTTCTTATTTAACTGCCCCGTTTAAAATGGATCTAATAGCATTAAAGAACGGCTTCTGCATCTAATATTGCTCGAAACAATTAAGGCAAATTAGCCGTAATTAACCCCTAAAAACCGGAAAAATTTTAAAAAATGGCTTGCAAAGTAACCGGTTTAAATAAAGACAACGTTTTGAAGATCGTTGCAAACTTGCCATTTTAAAGGCTAGCGAATGGTGTAACTACCATTCCGACCCGAAACTTCTTCGACGAGTTAGAGGGGTTTTTTGAGACAGCCTGAATAGTGTCGGTGGTTTAGGCAATGACCCCGGTGGTCTACGATCTGACGGGGAAATGCCAGGTAATGGAATGGGGCCAGGATGCAACGGAATTGTTGGGCCTTCCGCGAGACCATTATTCAGTGTAAGTTTGCGTGCACCTGATACCTTACACCAGTTCTAGGCACATCAGTGATCGGGTGGGAGTCCTCATCGATTTCGAGGATCCGACGGCACCGAAAGGGGTTAGACATATAATTTTGTTTTGTGAACGTCTTTCTCGCAGCTTCGCATGCACCTGTGGGTTGAGCAAGTTGGTTGCGTGCTGCCGCCCCTCGTGCCATATGACATCCACAAAATGGTCGCCGCACCCGTTGATCAGCTCGGATTGAGTTTGGTAAGCTTTTGAGACACGAAAGTTCAAGCATACCAACCTGTGAATTTTCGAAAATTGGTCTAAGCTATAACATCGAAATTGCTCCAAAAACCAGGTGTTCCGAAAATGGCGCCCTGATAGCGGCCCGCAATCGTGGCCGATTTGTACAATTTAGATATCTATCGAAATCGACAAACCGAAAAGATATATCTTCTTGTCGATTTTCATAATTGGCGAATTTTTCTTACATTAACTAAGATTTTTGGGGAAAAGAGAATTTTTCAAATTATCCCAAACTTTAACAACATGCAAATTTTCAAATTTTTCTTGGCAGCCCGCGAAAGAAAAGCCAGCGAAAAAAAGCCAGCTTGTATGGGGCTGCCGCCGATTAAAATGAGTTTTTGACGAAAAACGTGTAGGTTTTGGATGAAAAATCCCGAAAATCGTGGGTAAAATTCTGGGATTTCGCGAATCCAAAGGAGCCGCGTCTCGTTCTCTCGTAGCGCGATCCCTAAGTACACGAATCTTCACTGCTTGAGCCCATTAAGCAACTTTTAAAGGTGTGCTAAGCTTTAAAACGGATTGGCCGCTTCTAAGATATAAAGAAGCACCAATATTTAGATTGCGGCCATCGGCACCGGCGTCACGCTAATGATCTACCAACCGGAAACAGGCAACTAATACAGAAACTCAAAGATTTGAATAATTTTTAGAAACCTTGATCAAGGTCAACGAACACCTCACGCGCCATCATTGCACCGATGTAGGATTTGGCAAGGTGGATTTTTCACAATCGCAAAATTCCTCGAAAAACAAATCTGAGATGCTTCTAGGTCGTCAAAATGAAGATAAAGAAAACCGTCTGCCTCCGCGTGCCGTTAATCATGGCGACCGAGCGCGAGATTGAAGTGCTGCAGGTCATCGTGAAAGGCGATTCTGAATGTAAGTTCCTGGGCTTTTCAGCGACATTTCGGTTCTGAATTTTGCTATCATGGTTTAGGTTATACCAAAATACTCGCCAGATTATGGCGGAAGTTTGAATACACAAAGTGTCCCAAAAACCGACCGCCCCCCGCCCTTTAGCGGTCCGGAGACAGCTCGGATCGGTATGATTTTTGCACCATTCGAAAGTCCTCGAAAAACAAGCGCTTTTCGTTTTAGAAATTTTTTTTAGCCGGGGCTCGATATTAAACGATTCCTTGAAAAAACGTCGAATCAGCTTCGTCCTGTCAGCTTAAAGGGGCTCGAAGCTGAAAATTCGCGTGTTCGGGGATTGAACCTGCTGGCCAAAAAACGAAAGGGTTACTGCTGAGAAGCATGAGAAAAGTTATTTGGTTGCGAAAAGAAACGTAAAATATTTGAGTAAAACCAAAATGTTCTCGGGGGCGAAAACGACTTTTCGAGTGAGCGGCGATTACTTGTCGTGATTTCTCGGAATTTTTCGGGTACACATAGGATAGCGGGGGGAAAAAATAACGGGGGCACTCAAACTTTTTATATGATAAAAGTATTTTTAAATATGCTTTTTTCGGGCTGTAAAAAAAACTCTTAGTATATTTTTTGGTCCTCTATCGAATGGCATTTTCAAAATATCGAAAATCTTCAAAACGCCGAAAATTTTTTCCCCCCCTGTTATCCTATGTGCTGCCCATAGTTTTCAAAAATAGTTTTTAGGCTATAAAACTTTTATAATACATTTTTTCGCGTTGTAAAAAAATCTCTTAGTATATTTTTTGATGTTCTATCGATTTGCGTTTTCAAAATATCGAAAATCGCAAAAATTTGGCTTTCCCCCCGTTATCCTATGTGCTGCCCATGGATTTTGATCAATTTTTGTTTATTCGATAAAAAATTTAATTTACATTATTTCGGGCTGAAATTAATTCTCCTAGGGCAGTTTTCGACGCTTTATCGAATGACGTTTTCAAACTACCGAAAATTTCGAAAATTTCGAAAATTTGACTTTCCCCCCCCCGTTATCCTATGTGCTGCCCATAGATTTTCCTCAATTTTTGTTTATTCAATAAAAAATTTCCTTTACATTATTTTGGGCTCAAATTAATTCTCTTAGTATATTTTTCGACGCTCTATCGAATGGCACTCGCAAAATCCCTCAGTAATTGCAAATTTCATAATAATGAGTGCCCCCCGTTATTTTATTCCCCCCCCCGTTATCCTATGTGTACCATTTTTCGGACCACATCTGGTTGCATTATACATGGACCTTTATACAAGCGGGTTTTGCATTAAATCTGAAGTTTTCATGGGGTTTGGTCCTAAATGAGTTGAATTAAAATGGTTATCATGAAAAACGAAAAGTGCTGATTTTCTCGCCTTTCCGAGAGCTTGCGATAGATACCTGATTTGCAAAAATCGAACGCATCTGCGGCCTGCTAGAGGGCGGTCGATTATTTTGGGTCACCCAAACACGAAAAATGCTCCAAAAACGTGATGGTATATTTCAAAGGACATTTTCGTCTATTTAAAGCTACACCGACAATATTAACATATTTTCTAGTCGATTGGCCGGGTGGGAGCAGGCGTTTGCAGAAGACTGTTCGGCCAGAAGCGCCGATCGCGAACCGGTTCGGCATCCAGTTGGAATCGCGCGTGCGACAGATTTACGTCCCCGATCGGGTAGTTTTTTTCCCAATTTTTCGACTTGCCTTTTCTCAGGACGGTCCCGAGGACGAATGCGTGATTTACTTCATTTTGGATGCGACCCCTGATCGGAAGACGATAAAAATTGGGTATGTGTCTAATAAGTGGGTAGATTTGATGTCAGGGAGAGCACTCAAAGTTTGTTATAACAAAAATACTAGTTTAAATATGGATTTTCCGGCTATAAAAAACTCCTAGTATATTTTTCGGCTCTCAATCGAATCGCATTTTTAAAATTTCGAAAATATTAAAAACGCCGAAGATAGGCCCCAGTTATCATTTGTGCTGCCCATAGTTTTCAACATAGTTTTAGGCTATACAGGGTGTCCCAAAAAAAAAGACCCCCCCAAAAATTTGAGCCAGAGGGTACCTACGGAGCTGAAAATTTGCACAAAGGTAGCGAACCCAATTTCCCATGTATATGGAAAGTTTGAGCCATTTCGGCCCACGGGTTTTAAAGTTATAGCGAAAATACTTTTCATTTTTAATTTAATATGGGGATCTTTGCAATTGGCATCAAAAATATGCGTTATTCTTGCATTTACGAGCCGATTTTGCATAAATTTTGCCAAAAAATGGCATTTTCTTGCTGGAGCTTTTGGAAAACGATTGCTCATGCAGCGTGAAAACGATCAGTAAGACCGCTGAGTACAAGATATATTGGCTGAAACTATCGTTCAGCGCCTGAACTTCGCTCAGACTTTCGACTGACTTAAACCCAAGCCCAAATCTAAAATTAAGCACGACTTAGAAGCTCATCGGACTCCGTTTCGGGGCTAGCGCGAAGCAGATTGCTAAAAATGCACAATAAGGCGTGGTTTGGATCGATAAAACCGTTGTTTTCACACTCTTTTTACTCCCCATACGCAATCGTCCGCGCAAGGCTCCAGCAAAAGAATGGCATTTTTTGGCAAAATTTATGCAAAATCGGCGCGTAAATGCAAGAATAACGCATATTTTTGATGCAAATTGCAAAGATCCCCATATTAAATTAAAAATGAAAAGTATTTTCGCTATAACTTTAAAACGCGTCGGCCGATATGGCTCAAACTTTCCATATACATGGGAAATTGGGTTCGCTACCTCTGTGCAAATTTTCAGCTCCGTAGGTACCCTCTGGCTCAAATTTTTGGGGGGGTCTTTTTTTTTGGGACACCCTGTACAGGGCGTCCCAAAAAAACATAACATCAAAAATCCAATTTAACCGGTTTAAGCGTTATCCAAACTGTTTCGCAAACGGCTTACAAAAAGCTGCCGTTGAGCTGCCAGAAAAGGCATAAAAATTCGTAATTTGCGATTTTTGTAAAAAATCCTTTGGTCAGAAAAACATAAGGAAATCTGCCAGTTTTGCAAAAACATTAGTAAATGACAGAAAAAATTCGAAATTTCGGAAATCGGCGAAACGTGCCGGACTCGCCTTTCCGAGAGCTTTCGATAGCCACCTAAATCGTAAAAATCTGCGGCCGGCTAGGGGACCCTGTATTGCTTTGCTATTACATTGTTTCGTGCTGTAAATAATTCTCTTTGTATCTTTTTGAATTACTATTGATTAACATTTTGAAAATATCAAAAAATCTCAAAAACTTGGCTTTCCGCATCCCGCTACCCGATGTGCTGCCCATACATTTTTCTTTACGAAAAAGATTGGCTTTCCATTTTTTCGGGCTGAAATTACTTAGAATAGTTTATTTTTCGCAGTTCTATCAAATGGCACCCGAGAAATCCCACAGTAATGTAAAATATTCAAAATAACGAGTGCTCTCCCGTTCTTTTAACCCACTCGTTTTCCTCTATGCACCCTAAATACCATACGCCGATGATTCCAGGCTGATAATCTTTTACACCGATTCGATCACAGAGTTGCCGAAATGTCGACGTTTCCCAGAGGCCACTTGCAAAGACGTCTTTATGCCGTGCCAGCAATTTAAAGTATAATCGGGTAAACGCCCACATGATCTTTAGATGACGTCTAAAACAACGACCTCTGGCATTCCTAGTCTCGACATCTACTACCGATCCTTCGGCGCCTCGAACCCGTCGAAATTGGTGAGTAGCCAACGGGCCATCAACTACACTATAATTTTCTTTCCAGAAAATGGCCACCTGGGACCTAAAATCACCGGAAATTGTCTTCAACAAGGAGGTGGAAGCGTTTGAATCGTTCGAATACGACTCGAAGCTGCTCTCGGTTTCTGGGTTATGTTCGTCTTATACATATCTTCTTTAGGTTAAACGTCAAGGTGATCATTTAACATTCAATTCAAGGCAGGTGGACAGTACGGTCAAGGATCTGAATAAGCCGTCTAAGGGTTGGTTTCTTGATTTTAACGCAATAGAATCAAAGCTGGGATCGTAAAACATACAGTTATATACAGAAATTTCGTACGCGTTTATCCAGGCCCCACCTACTTCCTTCACAAAGATGCGGAAAATACGGCTGGCTAGCTGCTAAAAAGTACAACGGTCAACCGGTAATTCCGACAACTGCCCTCGGAAAATTACAGAAATTCAGAATTTCTTCGTTGATCAGCAGCTAACGGCGCGGGCCAAAAGATATGGACTTTGCAAATGGCTACCAATTTTGAGGTACGTTGCGAAAGATATACACTAGAGTGCGGCTTATTCAAATCAAATCGCGACTCAAACCGGTTTGATTTGAATAAGGGCGGTTTGAATAAGAATCTGCTTTTCAAATCAAACCGGTTTGGTTTGAATAAGGATCCGTTATTCAAACCAAACCGACCAGGTTTGAGTTGGTTTGAATTGGTTTGAACAACAGGCAAATCAGCATGTTAATCGATTTGATGGATGCTAATCGGCTAAGATTTCGAGGCATCCCTTCTAAAACCTTGTGTGATCAATATAATGATGAAATTGGCATCATTTACGGGGTTTACGCACTTTTTCAACGATAGGCTTGGCATTCACAACCCTTTCACAAGCATCCTAATGGTCGGGATAACCTTGGCAGCGCTAAAAGAAAAAGGTCTCGAAATGATCCGCTAACCCCAAAAACCTGGCAGGAATGCTGCTGAACCACCCTAAAGTGAAGTCACAAAAGGATTGGTGCCAAAACGCAAAAATGGTGCCGAAAACAGACTGTTTCGGACACTGGTTCTTATTCAAACCTTGTTCAAATTATTCAAACCGGTTTGGTTTGGTTTGAGTTGGGAATCCTTATTCAAACCGGGTTTGGTTTGAATAAGGATCCCGTATTCAAATCAAACCGGTTTGATTTGAATAACGGAAATCTTATTCAAATCCGGTTTGAATAAGCCGCACTCTAATATACACTAAATTAATTTTTTTTGTGCTAAGATTTTGAGAAATAACACCAGTTTTTATATGTTTTTTTTATACTTATTACATTTATATAGAAACCATGCGCTGGTGTATAGCGATCGATATTTTCAAATCGTCCGTGCGGGCTCATGTTTGACAAAGGAAAAACTTTGATCTGCTTGAACTTATGTGTTCTAACTTTATTTTTGCGCAATTTTTTAATTATTGATTGCATAATTGTTTGGGTAGCCTTGCTATACATTGCTGGGCCTCAATTTTTTTTCTGTATATTCAGATCTCAATTATCTCCTTACCTCAACTTGCCAGCTTTACACCACGTGATCCTACCTCATTTACCCTCAATGTGTCTTGTCTATTTTTTGCTCAATAAAAGTAATTTGCTATTGAAATACGTTTGATATGCACCAACTGCGTATTTTAAATTATATTCGAAAAGTTCGAATTAAGGAAAACTTAAAATTAACACCTAAAAGCGAGTTTGCACCCCCGCAGCCGATATTATATTTTTCGCTATTTTTCGACTCAATTTGTAATATATTTATTCTTACTGTTTACTATCACTCTTACTAGATACCGGCGAAGGGTTTGGTATCAACTATAATAAAAAAGTAGTGGTGTCTGTCTGTCTGTCTGTCTGTCTGTCCGTCATGTCCCGAATTCAACTCGAAGGGGAAAGGAGCTAGAGCTTAGGTCTCTTCGGATTCGGATAGAGCATGGTCAGAAACCCCCAAACTGATAAAAAAATTATGAAAAAATTTTAGTTTAAATTATTAAAATTAACTTTGACAGTTTTTTCCTTAGTAAAAGGGGTGGGGGACGGAGGTTGGGCTGATTTTGGACATAGTGAGCCAGGTGGCGCGTGTTTCGTGGATGAAAATTTTCACGGGGGATTTCATTTCTTTTTTCTCTCATTCCATCCGGTCGGTCGTTATTTTCGTTTTTAAAAAGGATTTCGGCTCGGGGAGGTATCTGAAGCCATCAGGGAGGTATTTAAGTAGTTTTTGAAGGGGATTTCGGCTAGGGGGGTATCTGAAGCCACCAGGAAGTTATTTAGGTAGTTTTTGAAGGGGATTTCGGCTGGGGGAGGTATCTGAAGCCATCAGGAAGGTATTTTGGTAGTTTTTTAAGGGAATTGGGCTATGGGGGGTATCTGAATCCATCGGGAACGTAGGTATGTTTTTGTCGGGGGTTGGCTAGAGGAGGTATCTGAAGCCATCAGTGTAGGTATTGCCATGAAGGCATCAGCGTAAGGTAGGGATGAAAGGTGGTGGTGTAGGATATGGAGGGTAGCCCGAAGTCCAGCCGATTGCAGTCGCGAAGCGGCTGTAATCGGCTGGTACTTTATAGATCCGTAGCGCAAACGAGAGGCGTGTTACAAAAGTTAGGCTAACCGGGGCCGAAGACCCATAAATTACCATGCGCCAATTTGCATATCCGCTCTTCCAAAAAAATAGGGATTCTCAAAAATCATGCCATTTTCTCATTTTACTCGCCCCGACACAGCTGTTTCGATGCCGCTGAATATCCTTCAGAGGCTCGTCCCCAAGCGGCTCCGCAACAAGATGGTAATTTGATATCTCTAAATTAAGATTCAAGCTCTCGAATCTACCACTACTCTCCAAATATGTTTTTTTTAGGCAAGCCTGAAACGCGCTGCCTCCTCGACGCTTTTCCCGACTGCACTCTCCACCAAGCAGGAGCCCCCTGGAGCCGGACGACTTCACGGAGTCGGACTCAGGTAACTTATGAGCTGGCTTGAAACAGCTTATGTGGCAGATGTTGATGTTTTCATATTACTGCGTGAATTCAGAACCGGAAGACGTGGAGAGCAGCAGCGTTGAGACGGAGTCGATGTACACGGCTTCTCCCTTTCGCCCATCGCTCTATCGTCGGCGGTACCACACCGGTAGTGGCCGTGGTTGAACTCGTTGATTTTGATGTTTCAGAAACGCTCCTCGAGATCCCGTCCTCGGCCGGGTCGTTGGTGACCCGTCGCAGCAGCCCGCCCTCCACCTCATTTGCCGTCGAGAGCCTCGTCCACGTTGATCACTTTCAGGAGGCGTGGTAAGTTTAGGACCTGGTGAAGATCAACTTAGAACCTTCGTATGTGGGCTCCTTGTTGGCATACAGAGATATAACGTATATCAAAATACTCGTCAGGCCAAGAAACACATTTTGGTATACCATACGCCCTTACAAGTCATGGCAGAGCCGAGCTACAGCCGTTCAGAATCAAAATCGCCTCCTGATGACCACTTAGCCTCCATATTTTCAGCCCTGACCACTACCACAAAATGGCCCGCGCCGCAGCCCTCTACGCCGAGCACGAGCCGCACGCTGGGAATAAGGTGACGCAGCCGTTTTGGAGCTTTTGCAATATCGGGGGGAGGGGTTTCAGGCGTAAGTAGGGAAGCTCCCGTAGCCTTCTCGTCCCATAAGCAAAACAAACTTAAGTATTTATAAGCCTCAAAACTATGAAATATTCCCTTTCAAAAATACCAAAAAAATGACGAAGTGAGTAAATTTTAAGGTGTGTTTAAGGTGTGTTATGTTTCGAAATTTTTTTAATTAGTTCTCTTTCGCTGAGGATTTGGTTAAATTGTACTAAAAAACTATAAACGATACTAGGCGTTAGTCTTGGCATCGGAAACATTTCGCCTCCTCAAAATTCCAAAGAACCTGCTTTTACTATACTTATCTCGCATTTTCAGCCCTGCCGCATCAAGTACACGAGGCCGCTAGCGGTGCGCCGGCTGCGCTGCACGCGCACGCGCCTCCCGCAACTGGTCGCGCCTCTTCTCGCGCAACGCGGGCGAATCGTCCAGCTACGAGGAGGTGTGCGACCTGACGACGAGCCACACATAACCAACAGCACGCCCGCCCCCAACCCCTCGCTTAACTATTAAACATTACTCGCGTGTTCGCCTTACTGATTGTGAATCGTGTATTACTGTCCCGAATCGATTGTATATGTCTGTCTGCA